TTTGTCATTACTCTCCTTCCTATTCGTCTTTCCTCTCTCTCTCTCTCGATGGCGATTTTCTTCTTCGCTATCTTTTCCAGTTCTTGGAGTTTCTTGCGAATCTGTTCCTCATTTCTTAGTTTCTGTTTCTCCCTTCTGATTTCTACGTTTACCCACCCAGTGAACCCAATGCCAGAAACCCTAGTTTTTCTACATTTGCATGCTTCTTGTTGATTCCACGCGTGGAACGTTCGATTTTGTAGAAAAGGCTGCATCTTTCCTGTTTTTCTTTGAAAGCTCTGTAACGTTTTCCGGTTTATGTTTTTTCTTTGATTGCTAGTCACGGTTTAGTGTAGCCTCTGAATTTTCTTTTCTTGGTTTTTTGGATTTTTTCTATTGGCTTCAGGTGGGTTCGGTGTCTCAATCGGCGTTGATTCGATTGACATCACACAGATCTTAACTGTTCACTTCAGGGACATCGAGGAATCCGCCATCAATGAGGAGAAGTTGCTGATCACGGCGGAGCTCCTCCGTCTCTTCTCGTCTCTGCCTTGTCACAATGAGAAATCTGCCTGGTTTCTCAGGTAACCTCGCTCTATCACACATCAAATTCTGCAAAGCTTGAATATCTTGTAAGTTTCGCGAATATAGACATTGTACGGTATATTTTGACTAACTGCGTGAAGAATTGGAGTGTTCGTCACATCTCTGTGTCAATCGTTGATTAATTATTTCTCTTTTGCAATTTGAGTTTCTGATAATATTCAGCAGTAATGGGGGGTCTAGGCTTTCCTTAGAGACATACATCGGTTCATGAGTTCCTCTCGTACATTGAGAAAGTAGACATTTGACTGGAACGAAACAGGCAAAGGAAGAAGGTAAGGGGTGCTTCTCTTTGTTTCTTGATCTCCTACAATTCAAGAAACTCTACCATATTGATAACTATTTTGTGAATCTGGAGCACAATCCGAGAGTGGTTATCCCATGCATGAGTGCTGCAGTCCACAAGGTACGGAATTGTGCTTACACGATTACTCATTAGGTTTTTTGTTCAATGGGTGACATGTGATGGACATTTATTCCATCTTTTACAGCTTTTTTTTGTTGTTGTTGCTGCTACTGCTAGGTGACCCGGGACCTGAGAGCAGTTGCAAGTAGCGGCGTCCATTTCTCCTCGAGTAATTTCATTTCAGTTGATCTTGAAGTTGTATCTGGTCCGATTCCTACATATGTCAATTGAAAGTCTCTGCTTAAGGTTTGGTTAGTTAGAGTGTAGTTGTCGGTATGATTTTTTTAAAGCGGGAATCTGAATGTTTAGATGATTGAGAAGTTTCCGCATGTCAAGCATTACAGACAGTTCAAAGTTGCTTTGGATTTGGATGTCAGAGATTTTGTCAAAATCCAGTTAGATGTTTCTTACATTGACAGTTATAATCTTTAACCGTGTTTCATTCCGTAGTACTCTTCTTCTCCTCTACTGTTGTTTCCCACTTTTTTGCATCCTGGCAGCAACTTGCTTTTTGTTTTCTTGTGCAGCGGAAGGGCCCAAGGGAACTGAGTTGCAATTACCTGCTGTCTTGGATGAATTAATCCCCTATGATGGTCCTCTAGGTGCACATTATACAGAAGAAGCTATCTCTCTTCACCTTGGGGCCCCTACTGCTCAAGTACTATATTGTTGGTTAAAATTGTTTGGTATATATGAGCTTCTTGTGAGGGATTTCAGGTAATTCCACTATATTTCTGCTTATAGTTTTCTTGGTTTGTTTATGCCGAATCAGATTTTGTGTTTTCGACTATTGATTTCTTTCTGTGTAGCAAGTATTTTTAGTCATAAATCTGCAAAAACTATATGCATCTCTCTCTCTTTTCCTTTGACGCCCAGAGCATGGATTTCTTTAATGAGAACACAACAAAGACCTTACTTTTATCCCCTGTAATATTAGCTCAGTTTCTCTGTGCTTGTGTAATTTCAGTGCCGATGATCATTTTGTAGATCCTGAAGTTAACGGTGGTACAAATGTCAATATTCTTGTGTACTAGTTCTGTAATGAGTTAGCGTGTGACGAATGGAGTTTGTATGTTGTTCCAACTGGTCAAAGACGTCATTCATGTTATATTTGTTGGTTAAATTTAGAGAATGCTACATTTAATAGCATAAACTCATTCAAGAATGCAATGTCCACTATAATGAACTGTTTGTTTTTTTTTCCTTTTTTTCCGTTGAAATTGAGCTATTCTTTTTGTGTTGCTGCTTCTGCCAGGTGACCCTGAAATGGGAAAAAGCAAGCTGTTACAAGCAGCGGCGTCCATTTCCCCTCGAGGAATTTATGTTTATGGTAATGTGTTACGGAATTGTGCTTACATGATTACTCATCAGGTTTTTTGGTCAATGGTTGGCATCTGATGGACTTTTATTCCTTTTTTGACGGATTCTTTTGGCTCGAATAATCATGTAACTTCTACAGTCCACCAAGAAATCAAGCATAGAATACAGAACAAGCTTGTTGGCTCTGAAGATCCAATTGCGACAGAAACGATGCTAGAAAGAATCACCAAGAACCAGGAGAATATATAGTGGAGACTTTGCAGAGCAGTTCAAAATGTTCCATAATCAGCTTAAGGATTTCTTCAATGCTGGAAGGTATGTGCCATTAGTTTCTTCGAAATCATATATATTTTTCATCTGGAGTTGTGTTGTGTGATTGTCCCATGTATTAAATGCTTCCCTCTGTATCATGTTGCTGGCTCACGGAGCAACTTGATTACAATCGAGCATCTATGGATGAGAGAGGTTTTTCTGATCTTAATCTGTTTTCAGAATGCAAAAGGGTTCACCATCTTAGTTGCAGTTAACCTTTATATAATTGGCTTCGCTGGTATGTTCTCTAGTATACCATCCAGGTACAATTATTTGTCGGTATAAAGATGACATGCAAAACCAATATAACATGATTTTGGAGTCTTTGGATGCACTCAGGATTTTGGGAGATAAGATTCCAGAAAACAAATATGAACCCATGATTTTTTTTATTAATTCAGTGCATTTATGCAGAGATCTGTAATCATAAAGTTTTTTAATCTGGCTGATGAAATACGTATTTTCACTTGACTCTGTTGGGAGACTCAGCTGATGTTTTGGAGTTGATCAAAACAATGCATTCCCTGAATTATCCGAGAGAAGAAATTGTGAAGGGCCTTGGAAGTGGCTTGCGAAATGGTGCTCCGGATGCTGCCATTGCAATGCGACGGAAGGTGAGATCATTTTGGGAATTATTCTGTACATTATGCAAGGAGTTGATTCATTTTGGTGGTTCATTTTATAGTGGCACATCTGTGAGATTGGCCTGGAGGACTACATTTGTGTTCGTTTGGGTTTGGATGTTAGAGATCTTGTCAAAAGCCAGTTAGCCATTTCTTGCTTTGACAGTAAGAATCTTTAACTGTGTTTCATTCCATTGTACGATTCATCTTCTCTACTGTTGTTTCCTGGTTTTGCATGTCGGCAACAACTTGTATTTCTTCTGCAGCCGAAGGGCGGCTAATTGAGGGAACCGGGTTGCAATTACCTGGTGTCTTGGACGAATTAATCTCCTATGACGGTCCTCTAGGTGCACATTATACAGAAGAAGCTATCTCACTTCACCTTTGGGTCCCTACTGCTCAAGTTATGTTCTTTGTTAAAATTCTTTGGTATATATGAGCTTCATGGGAGGGATTTCAGGTAATTCCACTATATTTCTGCTTATAGTTTTTTTGGTGTGTTTATGCCGAATCAGATTTTGTGTTTTCGACTATTGATTTCTTTCTGTGGAGCAAGTACTATTAGTCATAAATCTGCAAAACCTATATGCATTTCTCTCTCTCTCTCTGCTCTTTGACGCCCAGAGCATAGTTTTCTTGAATGCGAATAGAAAAAAGACCTTACTTTTATTCCCTGTAAATAATATTAGCTCAGTTTCTCTCTGTGTCTAGTTTAATTTCTCTACATCTTAAAACAAATTGAGAAACTTTTCTATGTGACATTCAAATTACATCCCGTGGTTTAAGGGGGGTCATTGTTTGGTTTTGCTACTTCCTTTCCTTATCCTATCTTGCTTGTCTGACTGTTTCGTAGATCCTGAAGTTCGCAGTGGACCAGTGGTTACCTGGCATTTACTTCAGTGTAAGATTTAGAGAATGTTACGCTTACTTGCATAAAATCACTCGAGAGTGCAATGTCCACTATATTGAACTGTTTCTTTTTTCCTTTTTATGTTGAAATTGAGCTATTCTTTTTTGCGTTGCTGCTACGGCTAGGTGACCCTAGACTGGGAAAAAGCCAGCTGTTGCAAGCAGTGGCTGCGTCCATTCCCCCTCGAGGAATTTATGTATGTGGTAATGCAGGGCTCACCGTTACTGTAGTGAAAGATTCCATGACAAGTGACTATGCTTTTAGGCTGGTAGTTCCTTTCCTCCATCTTATATAAGCTTATACAAAATTCAGATTATGCCATGTGAAATGTTCAATTAATATTTTCTCTCTGTGCTTGTGTAATTTCTCTACATCTTGAAACAAGTTGAGAAACTTTTCCGTGTGACATTTAAATTACATTCTGTTGTTTAAAGGGGTTCATTGTTCGGTTTTGGTTATGCAGACTTCCTTATCCTATCTCGCTTGTCCGACTGATTCTTGTTATTTCAGTGCCAATGATCATTTCGTAGATCCTGAAGTTCGCAGTGGTACACCTGGCATTTACTTTGGAGGTACAAATGTCAATATTCTTGTGTACTATTCCTGTAACAGTTTCTTTTTTTCCTTTTTACGTTGAAACTGAGCTGTTCTTTTTTGTTGGTGCTACTGCTAGGTGACCCTAGACTGGGAAAAAGCCAGCTGTTGCAAGCAGCGACGTCCATTTCCCCTTGAGGAATTTATGTTTGTGGTAATGAGGTACACAAATTGTGCTTACATGATTACTCATTAGGTTTTTTGTTCAATGGTTGGCATGTGATGGACAATTATTCCATCTTTTACAGATTCTTTTGGCTTAACGTGAGACCAAATGATTTTGTTGATGTGAAGTTATTCTTTTTTTTTTGTTGCTTCTACTGCTAGGTGACCCTGGACATGATAGCTGTTGCAAGCAGCGGCGTCCATTTCCCCTCGAGGAATGTTATTTCAGTTGACCTTGAAGTTGTATCTGATCCGCTTTCTACATATGTCAATTGTGAAGTCTCTGCTTAAGGTTTGGTTTGGTTCATAAGAGTGTAGATGTCGGTATGATTTTTTTAAAGCCGAAAATCTGAATGTTTAGGTGATTGAGAAGTTTCCTCATATCTCATATCAATTGTGAAGTGTCGCAAGTTTATGACAATGATAATCTTTTCTGAAATTTCTAACTTATTATCTTTGTGCTGAAACATATTAAAGGTCTTGTGCATATTTAGGTTGGTGTTGTTCCGGTGGATGATTGTTGTTGAACTACTGAATGGTAAAATTGAAGTTCTTGAAACCAAGGATGCCTCCGGGTGAAACCCTATGGAAACCTGTAAGTTTTCAGCCTTGTAAATGTTCTTCTCTGTTTGAATTTCTGCTTGAATAGGAACATTATCTGTATATAATAATTTGGGAAAGATGGTTGATATAGGTTTGTTCTGGACTTTATCGTGCATCTGATGCAATTAGAAAACTCTGTTCTTAAGTCTTAATATATTCCGATTTGAAATAAAAAAGTCGATAATCTCAAATGAGATAAATCAAGAGGGTCTGTTCTGTTATGGTCTGTTTTCTATTGCGAATCATGGCTAAATAGACCCTCGAATTGGAACGCTATCTGTGACATGTCCCGAAACATAATGAAAAATCTGTATTATAAAATGAGTTGTAAGTACAGGGTCTATTTCATAGAAATAATGGCTAAATAGACCCTGGAATGGGAACGCTATCTGTTACATGTCCCGAAACATAGAGTGAAACATGTAATCTCAAATGAGATCCAAATACAGGGTCTGTTCTATCGGGAATGATATGTTGGCTGAACAGACCTTGGAATGGGAACGCTATCTGTTAAATGTCCCGAAACATAATGCAAAAGTATGCATTCGCAAATGAGATGGTCTGTTTTCTATTGGGAATAACGGCTAAACAGACCATCGAATGGAACGCTATCTGTGACTCTCCCGAAACACAATGAAAAATCAGTATTATCAAATGAGTTGCAAGTACAGGGTCTATTCTATTGAAATAATGGCTAAGTAGACCCTGGAATGGGAACGCTATCTGTTACATGTCCCGAAATATAATGAAAAGCCTATAATCTCCTATCAGATGCAAATACATGGTCTGTTCTAACGGGAATGATATGATGTCTAAACAGGCCTTGCAATGGGAACGCTATCTGTTAAATGTCCCGAAACATAATGCAAAAGTATGCATTCGCAAATGAGATGGTCTGTTTTCTATTGATTTGAGATTACATGTTTCACTTTATGTTTCGGGACATGTAACAGACAGCGTTCCCATTCCAGGGTCTATTTAGCCATGATTTCAATAGAATAGACCTTGTACTTGCAACTCATTTTATAATACAGATTTTTCATTATGTTTCGAGACATGTCACAGATAGCGTTCCCATTCCAAGGTTTGTTTAGCCGTTATTTGCAATAGAAAACAGACCATCTCATTTGAGAATGCGTACTTTTGCATTATGTTTCGGGACATTTAACAGATAGCGTTCTCATCCCAAGGTCTGCTCAGCCAACATATTATTCCCGATAGAACAGACCTTGTATTTGAATCTCATTTGAGATTACATGTTTCACTTTATGTTTCGGGACATGTAACAGATAGCGTTCCCATTCCAGGGTCTATTTAGCCATGATTTCAATAGAATAGACCTTGTACTTGCAACTCATTTTATAATACAGAATTTTCATTATGTTTCGGGACATGTCACAGATAGCGTTCCCATTCCAAGGTCTGTTTAGTCATTATTCGCAATAGAAAACAGACCATCTCATTTGCGAATGCATACTTTTGCATTATGTTTCGGGACATTTAAAAGATAGCGTTCCCATTCCAAGCTCTGTTCAACCAACATATCATTCCCGATAGAACAGACCCTGTATTTGAATCTCATTTGAGATTACATGTTTCACTTTATGTTTCGGGACATGTAACAGACAGCGTTCCCATTCCAGGGTCTGAGATGCAAATACAGGGTCTGTTCTATCGGGAATGATATGATGTCTAAACAGACCTTAGAATGGGAACGCTATCTGTTAAATGTCGCAAAACGTAATGGAAAACTATGCATTCTCAAATGAGATGGTTTGTTTTCTATTGGGAATAACGGCTAAACAGACCCTCGAATGGGAACACTATCTGTGACATGTCCCGAAACATAATGAAAAATCTGTATTATCAAATGAGTTGCAAGTACATGGTCGATTTTATTGAAATAATGGTTAAATAGACCCTGGAATGGGAACGCTATCTGTTGCATGTCCCGATACATAAAGTGAAACATGTAATCTCAATTGAGATTCAAATACAAGGTTTGTTCTATCGGGAATGATATGTTGGCTGAACAGACCTTGGAATGGGAACGTTATCCATTCCCGGGTCTATTTAGCCATGATTTCAATAGAATAGACCCTGTACTTACAACTCATTTTATAATACAGAATTTTCATTATGTTTCGGGACATGTCACAGATAGCGTTCCCATTCCAAGGTCTGTTTAGTCATTATTCGCAATAGAAAACAGACCATCTCATTTGCGAATGCATACTTTTGCATTATGTTTCGGGACATTTAAAAGATAGCGTTCCCATTCCAAGCTCTGTTCAACCAACATATCATTCCCGATAGAACAGACCCTGTATTTGAATCTCATTTGAGATTACATGTTTCACTTTATGTTTCGAGACATGTAACAGATAGCGTTCCAATTCCAGGGTCTATTTAGCCATTATTTCAATGAAATAGACTCTGTATTAGCCGTTATTTGCAATAGAAAACAGACCATCTCATTTGAGAATGCGTACTTTTGCATTATGTTTCGGGACATTTAACAGATAGCGTTCTCATCCCAAGGTCTGCTCAGCCAACATATTATTCCCGATAGAACAGACCTTGTATTTGAATCTCATTTGAGATTACATGTTTCACTTTATGTTTCGGGACATGTAACAGACAGCGTTCCCATTCCAGGGTCTATTTAGCCATGATTTCAATAGAATAGACCTTGTACTTGCAACTCATTTTATAATACAGATTTTTCATTATGTTTCGAGACATGTCACAGATAGCGTTCCCATTCCAAGGTTTGTTTAGCCGTTATTTGCAATAGAAAACAGACCATCTCATTTGAGAATGCGTACTTTTGCATTATGTTTCGGGACATTTAAAAGATAGCGTTCCCATTCCAAGCTCTGTTCAACCAACATATCATTCCCGATAGAACAGACCCTGTATTTGAATCTCATTTGAGATTACATGTTTCACTTTATGTTTCGGGACATGTAACAGATAGCGTTCCCATTTCAGGGTCTATTTAACCATTATTTCAATAAAATAGACCATGTACTTACAACTCATTTGATAATACAGGTTTTTCCTTATGTTTCGGGACATGTCACAGATAGCGTTCCCATTCGAGGGTCTGTTTAGCCGTTATTCCCAATATAAAACAGACCATCTCATTTGAGAATGCATACTTTTCCATTATGTTTCGCGAAATTTAACAGATAGCGTTCTCATTCTAAGGTCTGTTTAGACATCATATCATTCCAGATAGAACAGACCCTGTATTTGTATCTCATTTGAGATTACAGATTTCGCATTATGTTTCGAGACATGAAACAGATAGCGTTCCCATTCCCAGGACTATTTAGCCATGATTTCAATAGAATAGACCCGTTACTTGCAACTCATTTTATAATGCAGATTTTTCATTATGTTTCGGTACATGTCACAGATAGCGTTCCCATTCCAAGGTCTGTTTAGTCATTATTCGCAATAGAAAACAGACCATCTCATTTGCGAATGCATACTTTTGCATTATGTTTCGGGACATTTAACAGATAGCGTTC